AGATTTCACTAAGAGAAGTGTGATCAGAGAGAAGACATATAGAGATCCTTGTCTTTCCTTTGTTAGTCCCCTAGGAATAAGTTCATCTTAGTGACATCCATCCCCTTGTATAGCTCTGGAAAGAACTAGAAAATCTGTACATGCTCCTACGCCATGAGACCTCCCAAGCCTGCCTGTGCTGAGTCTCAGAGCACCTGTATCTGACAGAGATCCTCCTGTATCTTCCCCCAAATATGTACAGTATAGCTCTTGCCATGGTCTCATCTTCTGTCAGCTTCCACTCACCTGTCTTGCAGGGATTTGCAGTGGTTTGTCATGTCAGAGAAGACTGTGCTTTTATAAGAAAATTAGAAGGAGGGGCACTCAAATGAATAACCGGAATGTGGAACCAGAACAAGGGTCATGGAGAAGGGCTTGGCCTGTATTCCAGGAGATTCCCGCCATGGGGAGAAGTGTCTTCCCAGCAAAGCCTGGGAATTGCCACAGATGTTGCCTCTTTCCTGTTAACAGGCCAGCACTTTCCCCAAGAACAGGTGAAGTTTGAACTTTCCCTGTCCTTTGCCAAATACTTTGTTCTGAAAAACTTAAGGCAAGGGAGGCAGCCCTATGGCAGAAATACTGATGTACACAGCTTAGAAAATATAGTAGCATTGGATAGTTATGGAAAATGTCTAGAGTGTATTTGATTAATCAGTCAAAAATTCATTCCTGTAAGCATATATATGAATTTTTTTAAACTTTGGCCAGTAAGAGTAAAAACTTTGTCCAGTAAAAAAAAAAAAAAACAAACTAGTAAGTATAAATCGGTGGGTATAGGAATTGGAAGTGCTGGTGAGCGCCAAGTATTGGGAAAAGAAAGTTGAGGGAAAAGAAAATTGAAACCAAGAACAGGAACAGGAACAACAAGTTCAGAGCTGCTTCCTCAATATTATGGCAAGGTGTGAAGGAAGCATGGAGCGATAGTGTCTAAGTCAGAAGGAAAGCCGTGTTCATAAGGAACAGCAGGTAGACTTGCCATCTAGCTGTCTCTGTGTAGGAAGACTGAGAAATAGTTCCTCAGTTTAGTTCTGAGTAGGTAATCTGATACATCAAAGTAGCATTTCCATTGTGAGTTGCAGACCCATGGGTGTCTTCAAGACCCTTTCAGGGGGACTGTGAAGTTGTAATTTTCATAACAATACTAAAATGGTATTTGCCTTTTTTACTGTGCTGACATTTGCATTGATGGAGCAAAGGCAATGGTGGTTAAAAGTTCTGGTGACATGGCATTAATCAAGGCAATGGCATCAACCTGTATCCTTCATTTCCAGGCATTTACAAGAAACAAAAAAGACATTTCACTTAAAACTATCCTTGAGGAATTTGACAGAACAGTAAATACATTTAATTTTAGTAATTACAAACCTTGAATACATTGCTCTTACTATTTTGTGTGACTAAATGGGAATCTGCGTGCTAAACTATAATGGTTGTCTTGAAGAAAAGCATTTGTAACATGGAGTTTTACTCCACGTTTTCATAGAACACAATTCTTGAAAAACGGACTAGCAGAAAAACTTTAGTTATATGCATATGGGCATATCATTGATATTTTTTCAAATATGATAAAAACAAGTTAGTAAATATTTTTAAAATATCTGTTTTAATACATAGTATTATAAATAGTAAATCACATGAATAAAAATTCTTTGGAATCCAATAATTTTTAGAATGTAAAAGTATCCTCAGATCAGAACTATTTGAGAACTTCTGATTAACATTAAGCTATCAATTTCTAGAAAATCTGGACCCAGATTTCACGTTACAACACAGGGATACAATCTCTAGTCTAGAAACTCTACAGGACAAATGATTCCATATTCTTAAACATGGAATTTAAGAAAATAATGCAATATAACACACTTAAGTTATAAGAGATGTTCCAATCAAATATAATGTATGAACTATGTTTAAATCCTAATTTGAACAAATCGAATGGGAAAAATAATTATTAGACAGCTGACTAAAAGTGAACATTGAAAATGTTATGTGATTATATTGTTAGCTGTGATTATGGAATTATAATTATATTATTTAAGTGTTCTCATCATTTAGAGATACATAAAATACTTAACAGATGAAATAAGTTGTTCAGAATTTACTTAAAAATAATGCAGTGTGAGGGGTTTCTGGGTAACTCAGTCCATTAAGCATCTCTTGATTTCAGCTCAGGTCATGATCTCCTGATTTGTGAGTTCAAGCCCTGCATCAGGCTCTGCACTGACAGCACAGAGCCTGTTTGGGATTCTCTCTCTCCCTCTCTCTGACCCTCCCCTGCTTGCTCTCTCTCTGTTTCTCTCAAAACAAATAAATAAACTTTAAAAGATGCACAATAATCCGGTGTAATTGAAATATAGGTGAAATGAGAGCCCATGAGGTAAAGGTATCATTGCTTGGTGGTAGATACAGAGGTTCATGGTATTATTCTCTTTGGTATAAAAATTCTTTTTTTTTTAATGTTTTTATTTGGTTCTTTTTTTTTTTTTTTTTTTTTTTTTTTTTTTTTTTGACAGACAGAGACAGAGTGTGAGCGGGGAGGTGCAGAGAGAGAAGGAGACACAGGATCTGAAGCAGGCTCTAGGTTCTGAGCTGTCAGCACAGAGCCCGACATGGGGCTGGAACCCATGAACTGAAAGATCATGACCTGAGCTGAAGTCACAAACTTAACTGGCTGACCCACCCAGGTGCCCCTGGTATAAAAATTCTTAACAAAGAAGGGATAGATAGTAATTCCTTAAGATGATAAAGAAACCTACAGAGATTCAAAAATAAGACAATGAAACCATTTCCTTAAAAATCAGGAGAAAAAACATTCTATGTTCCCTGATTATATTCAACAATACCATGTTAGAAAAAGTACCCTTATGGGTGCCTGGGTGGCTCAGAGCCAGTTGAAGGGCTGAACATACAACTCTCTGTTTCAGCTCGGGTCATGATCTCATGGACTGGAGCCCTGCATTGGGCTGTGCACTGACAGCACAGAGCCTGCATAGGATTCTCTCTCTCCCTCTTGATCTGCCCCTCCCCTCTGTGTGCTCTCTCTCTCTCCCTCTCAAAATAAATAAACATCAAAAAAGTACACTTGGAAAGGATAAGGAATATTTAAACATGCAGGAGAATAAGGGGAATTATTTTTTTTCTACATGATATATTTTCTCCATAGAAAACCCCAAAGAATCTCCAAACTGTTAGAATCAATGAGAGAATTTATCAAGCAAGAAAGAAATCAACATATAATTTCCGATTGAATTGTATTCCAGTAACAGAAAAGGTATTTTTAAATTTTTTTTTTTTCAACGTTTTTTATTTATTTATTTTTGGGACAGAGAGAGACAGAGCATGAACGGGGGAGGGGCAGAGAGAGAGGGAGACACAGAATCGGAAACAGGCTCCAGGCTCTGAGCCATCAGCCCAGAGCCTGACGCGGGGCTCGAACTCACGGACCGCGAGATCGTGACCTGGCTGAAGTCGGACGCTTAACCGACTGCGCCACCCAGGCGCCCCGAAAAGGTATTTTTAAGAAAGATATCCTACCAAGAAATATATCCAATAAAAAGCAGTGAAGAAGACCTAAATATATGGAGAAATCTATCATGTTTATAAAGAGAAACAATCAATACCCTAAAGATGCTTTGTCTATCTGTATTGATTAATGGAGGTGCAATTATAATACTAACAGGATATTCCTGGTAATTTGATAAACTAATATAAACATAGTCAACAAATTTCTGAATAAAAACAATGAGATTAGTAACTTTGTTTGACCATACATGAGTGAGTTTGAGCTCCAATTCTGTGTCTCTCTTTCTCCCTGCCCCCTCCCCAAGAATAAATAAACATAAAAAAATTAAATTTGTTTGACCATACATGAGGACTTTTTACTATAAAGTATTATGTGGGAATATCAAATTTGACCAGGAATAGAAGAGAGGGCCTAAAAATATAATTATGATAAATGGAAACTGTAAATATAAACAGATCATTGCTGATCAGTAACAGAGGATGGCCTAAATGATTTCAGTTAATTGGTTATCCATATGAACAAAAGTAATTAGAATCTATCTCTTAAAACACGAAAATAAAACGACAAACCCCCATTCCAAGAAAAAAAAATCAAGAGAATTGATGACTTAAATACAAAAAACCAAAAATGTAAAGTTATATAGGAGATAATTTAAAAACAATATTTTTGACTTTGGGTTTGGAATGTATTTCTTAAC